TTTTCGTACCACTCACACTAGTGTATAAATAAATTTTGATTGGGCTATTTAAATACAATATTGGAATGTACATTAATTTGAGAATATAATCATTTGACGATAATCCATTAGGTTAATCATTCCAGCACAACATCTTCACAGCTTACTACAAAATGTTTGTAACGAATGAAGTTTCTTTTTAACTCAAAATCCCATTCTTATAAGATTTAAACTAAGCTCTCTCATTTACAACCAACATTTAAAAACTCAATTTAAAAGAAAACAAATCCTAATGAGAAATAAACAACTACATTAATACCTAGTTACACATCAAAATCAATTGGATTGGAAACTAATGTTTATTTCTAATCCCTAGGCCATTCCTTGTAACTAACATTCTTTTCTTCTATTCCTTAGGAGCTAAGAATGTGTCTCTTAGTAAATGACATCTTATCCTATAGAGAATAGCCAATACCCTGAAGGTTTGGTACGAAAACAAAGAGAAGATGTATAGCTATGGGTTTACTTATGAATGAGAACATTGAGAACTGACCTGAAAGATAAAACGGTCCAAGAATCATATGATGATCTAAACCACATTATCTCCTTTTTTTCTTTGCTGTTCCTTGGGAAAATCATTCACTTATTCTGTCGTTCTCACGTGCTTTTAATGAGGCGGGGGTGAAAGGTTTTGAATGTTCATTAAACAAAAGGGATTCATTAGCATTTATGAGATGGGTCAGCGAATTTGGGCGTAAGAGCGTAATTTTCTCGAGGCTTGTTTCCATAGGATCGTTAATAAGTGGTTTAAGAACACATTTGAAAGGGGATTGTTAGGTTGTCATGGAGAATTCTTCATCTTTTCCTTTAAGTGTAAAGACAAATTTTGTAATTATAGCATATGCTCATATCTTTAATGCGTTTAAGAATTTTATCGAAAGCAAATGTATGTGTGCTTTTGAAATAAAAAAGAAATTACAGAGCTTAAATTTAAGATTATTTTATAGGTCATCAATGTATGAATTTACTTTATTTATTTAATTTATTCATTTACGCATTTATTTAATAAAAACAAGCTGTTGTCATTGTGTAAATTAATAGTAATAAAGCAAGAATGTTACGATATATTGTGAATTTTTTTTTTATCTCTATAAAAATTTTTAAATAAATATTCCCGTACTATAATAAATATAAGTACCTAATAATATCGTCTGTCCTTTATCAGAGATTATATGACAATTAAAAATTAAGGAAAAATAATGGTTTATGTTCATGAAAGTGGATAAAGAGAAATAAAAACTATATTTAATAGGCGGAAAGGACCTGTCTTCCTCCAGTCTGGTTAAAATTAATTTTTTTTCGCACTTACTACTAAACATAATAATAAAACCATACTTTGTTGTTAATTTTACCAGAAGTCATTACAAAAGCCTTATGATAAAGGACTTTTTGGTATATTCACAGTGCCAGAAAACACGGTGAATTTTACTATACAGTTTGACCATAATTTTTTTCTTATAACTATAGATTTTGTTGTATAGATTCATTTTTTTAGTCTCCACTGCCTACACACGTTGTATTCTGTCCCTTGCTAATTATATATTAATTTGTTTATATCAATATTTTTTGTTAACCATCAGATAAATTCTTTATATTCAAGCAGGAAATGCATTTACTTTTTATGAACGAAAAATGAAATAGAGTGTTAATTAACAACTATAAAATAAACTCAAAATTCTACTCAATGCTTTGATGTGAAAGTGTAATTTTATGAAGTATGTTATGTTTTTTCTCCAGTTTTAATTCCAATTTCCAGAAAAATGCTTCACATTTTTCTGCATATTATAAGTATATGTTTACGCCATATATTTAGACATCTAAACGCATATTTATTGTGATTTATGAAAAAGAATCATTCACATTTTTGTTATTGTATATTTTTCATAAAGTTCGACAGTTGTGGTTAATTCTTAGTCAATCATTGTGAATAGATAATCAAATATTAAAACAATTTTTTTCACCTCTTCGATACTTATGCTAAGAGAAAATATATTTCTTTAAAGCATGCTCCGTTTGAAGCACATTCATTAAGATTGAATGCAGAACTGAAATTCGAATATGGATTGTTTGAGTAAGAAGGTTTTTTTTTCCATACTCATATCCATTTATGCAGCAAGATAACTTTTTATCTGAAACCGTGATCCATTTAAAACTATGTCCCTCAGGAGTAGATACGAATCTGAAATTCAAATATTGGTCTTTTGAGTAAAAAGTCTTCTTTTTCATGCTCAATGGTATTTTTTCTAAGGGAAGAACCTTAAAGAGTTATCTGTAGGAAAACATGTAAATTTGGGTCAAATGCATAACTAAAACTCGAATCTCAGTCATTGGGGGAAAAAAAAACTAGTGTGACTTAGAAATTGTTAATCTTTTATGACTCATAAGTTCCACCGGGGTGTCATAACCTAAGTCTCTTCTACCTAACTGAGATATCTGATGTGATACATTTTCAATTAGTCTAGATTAGAATGGATAAATGCTGCCTGTGGGATAGCATTCCAAGAACGGTTTCCATCCTATTTGGTTTGATAGGGTTCAGGTGATTGAATAGCTGATCACGATTAGGTGGCCGATCACGATTTGTACTAAGCGAGAGTTAATTTGTTTGTGCACGGATCTGATCTAGCGTAAACTAATGCAATTGGGGTTGCTTAATCTGGTCATAAATGGAACATTATTGATTTTCTACTGTACAGAGGAGCCAATATGATTCGTAAAAAATTGAAATTTTTCTTATTATTTGATTAGTATTATTTTCTGATCTTTTGTTTAAATAAAAAAAGAAAAAAACAAAAATTAAGTTGTGGAATGGAACATTATTGAACATTATTGAATGGAACAGAAATGGAACATTATTGATTTTCTACCGTACAGAGGTGCCAATATGATTCGTAAAATATTGACATTTTTCTTATTATTTGATTAATATTATTTTCTGATCTTTTGTTTAAATAAAAAAATAAAAAACAAAACTTCTGTTGTAAGATAATGACTTTTCTGTCCCACTAATTCTAATTCCTATCTCTCTAATTACAAGTAGAAATATATTTCGGTTCTTTTTCAGTTACATAAAACAATCTAATAGTTACAAAAAATTCTGTTAGGTTAACGGAATTATATTTGTATTAAAATGTAAAAACCGAAAAAGCAATATTTTGAACTTTTTTTACAATCTTACTCAAAAATTTATCTACAATTGATGTTATAAATTTTTAAAAAAATCATTGGCGAATATCTGTTTCTAAACATCTAAATAACTGCAAATTAGAAAAAATAATTGTTTGAAAGTGAGCCGTCTTTAGAAGATTTTACCTTATAACGCTGAAAAAGGTACCGTGAAGTTATACCTCATTACTGTTATTCATTTAAATGTTAAATATAACATTTTTTCACTTATTGATCGTATCGTAAATTAATACATAATAAAGAAAAAAGTAAGTTAAAAATTCTGTGTCAACAGCTTAAGCACCACTCTTGCAATTGACAAATAAAATAATTTAATGATTGCGATTTATAAATGCATCTAATGAAAAACAAATGGTTTTGCGCAAAAAATAGTGATAATTGTAAATTATTTTTCTGCAAATGGGAGCTTAAGCGGTCGCTAAATATAAAATGCGTTTTCCTCTAAACTACTTTGACTGATAAGAAAGCATTTAAAACTACTTATTATTTTACTTTTAGATATTTAAAGCACTTTTGCGTCTTACATAAATTAAAAATAATTAATCGAGAAAAAAATACAATTTGTTGAATTTATTTTCCACAAATTAATTTTTTTCTTCAAATCCTTACTTTGCGTGATATTTCTATGAATATTTTTAAATTAGGTTTATTTACTATTTCATCCATCACAAGTGAGTATTTGATTTAATTGCATATGCAATTTTTTAATTAAATCAGTGTTAAAACGACTTCGGTTTATAGATCTAAAAAAAGAAATTTGATCTTACGTGCATTTAATACTCTCGCTAGAATTAATGTATTTCTGAAGTATAAAAATTAATAAAACTTGATTTAAATGATAAAGTGGAAGGACAAAAAATAGTGATTGATCTTATAATAGAGGGTTTGAACCGCAATGCGTAAAATCAATAAATATTTGAAAATATTTTTTTAGAAATATATATATTTATTATTTTAAAAAAATACTAGAAATTATCAGTGATAAAAGATTTTATTATTTTTTCCTTGTTATTATCACTTATTTTTTCATCTATTTAAATTTATACACACTTCATTGATTTTTACTTCAACATAATAAGCTCTCAGCTTTGTTAAGCTTAAGTTGGGTTTTCTTATAAAAATCAATGTTTTTCTTTTTATAAACCTATTTGTAATAGTAAAAAATGGAGCAAAAATAATAAATTATTGTTATAAAAACATTATTCAGTAAAAAAAAGTATTTTGGAAGAGTTTTAAAATATTTAAATGCTTCACGCTCGGAATAAAATAGGAATATACTTATTATTTATGCCTTGCATTCAAATCATTCAAAGCATGTTTCGTTCATAGAAAATCTATTAGTTTGAATTAATGAATCGATTAATAAATCATATTTTGAAACTGTCAAAGTGTTAACGCCTTCAATTTAACAAATTAATTCAGATAAGATGATATTAAATTGTTTTTCGAAATTTAAGGAAAGTTATTATTCATTTAATTTAGTATAAAAAAGATTATATCTATTATGCTATTAACCTCTTAATATTTCATTAAAAAACAAATCTCATTTAGTAGTTACATAAAAAAATCATGATCTCTTATATGTGGTTTTTTATACTAATTTTCATTCTATGTGTAAATACTTTTTTGTGTAAAAAAATAACATTGTGCTTATATATTCGACATATTTCTCAGAATTAATGTGAATAAATATGTTCTTAATGCTCCACAGATAAAATCGAAGCGCTTGCTTTGAGTAAATCCAATAGATTATTCAGGGGCTTTTAGAAACTTACTGACAACTTTCAGTACTAACGGCCGTTCAGCTTTCTCTCCTCTTCCATTAGTAGCTATGCATCGATAAATGCCCTCATCTTCCTTTCGAACGTTATGAATACGAACGACCCCTCTTTGGTCTACTGTTTGACGATCACCATATGGTAGTTTACTTCCACCTGCAAGAAAATGAAACAAACACAATGATGTTACAAGCCATTATCGGAAATTATGATAGTTGTGGTATTTATATTAAAAGAGCTTCCACACAGCAAAAGAAATTGTTGGATATATTGCAACTACATATCTTTCATTTATAATATGAAAAATAAATTGGATGTGTAGATGAACTTATGACAATTTTTTTTTCTTCCTTTTTTTTCGAAATACCAGGCGTGGATAAGATAATTTAGCAAATGATGTATTCTGTTCAGATAATGAAACAGTTTTTTTTCTTAACTTTGATTTATTAGAATATTACAAAAAGTTGCTGTCACGCTTAAAAGGAATGTATAGTGCAAAACTAAATTAACACAAGCGTAGATTGCATTGTGTAAGTAAGTTTTGAAATATTTGTAAGATATATATTTTACGATAATAAAAATAAAAAATTGTTTCAGAAAAAAGATAGTCAAGTTATACTGCATTTGAATAAACAGCACTTGTACTTGTGGCATTGCGGTCTGAAATGCAAAGTCCGAACTACGAATCTCTGACGTTGGACTACGTAGCTTGCAGCCGGTAATTGACGTGAACCTCATACCTGAATGGAGATATGCGTGAAGGGCGAAATCAGTAAAACGCGCACAGTATGTTTTGGATATAACTTGGCCGCATCCTCACAGCTTGCTCTCTCTCCCCGTCGGTTCTAGCTAGCAATCCGGCATGTTTTCGCCGGTTACCTTTTCGCAGTTTTTTTCTATGCTGTCTCAATATTAAAGTGGTTAAGTTTTATATATGTTAAAATGTTTTAGTTAAATTTGCAAGTTTCTTAAATGTTAATAAAGATAGTTATTTATTTAAACTTAGTGTTATTTATGAAGAAACCTATAACACGTTCTCGGAAACATTTTTATGTGGAACGCTTTCCTAGAGTTATATTTATTTTTAGAGTTTAAGTGGGGACTCTAACAAAGATACCAAACAACCCCACATACTATTATTGATTCCAATCAGATATGTTTACTGTTGGTGACAGACGAATAAATATTTTGAGTTGTCGCTTAAAATTAACAAGTATATAAAAGTATTTCAATAACATTTAAGTAAGTATTTTTCCTTCAATTAAAAAAAAAGATTATCATGCAAGTGGAAACTAATGAAGGAAATTAATTTTGAGCAAGTGTGATAAAGTGAAAAAGAATTGCAACTTGATCGTAGTCTGTACTAATTGGATAACAACTGGTTTAATAAAAATCCAAATCCAGAAAAGAAAAAGCAGATGTAGTTGTAAGTTACACAATTGCCACTCAGACAATTTAATTTCTAAAAAAATAATACTGTCCTTAACCATAATCCTCAATGTAGAAAAAAATGAGGGGACATTTATGGAAAATATTACTAAAATTTAAAGTCAACTGCACTATTAGAGCTATGAGTTACACCATGAATTGTAAAATAAAACGCTAGAATTAATGTCAATATGGGTCCAGGTTGATTTATTTCTATTCACTATCACATTATGAGCAGTTCAACAGCGAACTTTATCTGGTTTTAAAACTGTCTATAATGCGGACATTAGTTTATAAACAGGTTCCCTGGGATCGAATCTTGTCACTGTAAAGGTTATCTTATAATTATAATTTTTCTATTATTTTCTACCATAAATTTTCACAGTAAATGTTACATTCAAAATTAGAAGAACAAGTACTAGAAATGCTGGTACCTTTTTCCGTAAACTCTTAAGATTTTTTTCATGTACATTTGCTGATTTTATGTATAGTGTGTTTTTATTAAATCAGCATTAACTATCACTAAAATTTTGCATTACGTAATGTATGTATTAAGTTTATTGAAACTTCTCAATTTTTATTTCATTTTATCAATAACTCTTTTCCTATTTCGTAAAGTTATTAATAAATATATCACTTTTTACAGAAGACAAATCTGCTTTTAGTCTTACGTCTTTAAAGCTTAGAAATGAGCTTTTTGGTTGAAAGCATTCCTTTTAGCTTTTCTGCGGATTAAGTTATTTCTACGAATATGATATAAGATGAAACCATCTTCTAAAAACATTTAGAAATCCTGAGAGATTTTACGAAAAAAAATTGTTAAGTTCTTAATATTTCATACTGTAGTATGGTATACTACATATTAAGTAAAATCAATTGTTAATTCTAATTTACGTTAATTGTTAATTCTAATTGTTAATTCGGCTTAATTCTAATTATCTAATCATCTTAATTTATTTAATCATCATCATTCATCTAATTTAATAATCATTTGTTAATTGTTAATTTGTTAATAATGTATTAAACGCTTAAATAATTGTAACTGTTAAATTTGTGATAAACTTTTAATTGTATGCTTTTTTAATTTCTTCCTTTTACACTTGTAATTAATGTTATTTATTTATCAGTATTCAATAATTCTTTGCAATATATTTCATGTAATATTTAAGTTTTACGCCTCAATTTGTTTTGTAACCTTGGGAAAGTAATCTTTCTCTGTATTTATGTTCTTCCTTTAAAAGAAGATTCCTCCTTTTGTTACTTGCTGACAGCAAGATGTATGTCCAGTCAGCAAACCCCTTTTGTTGGATGGAGAAGGAATGACACCAAGTCCCCTTTCCCACGATTCGGCTTGCATCAAATGCAAAGCGCCCCTTTTGATCTTATGATGGCGCCAAGAATGTTCCAGAACATTCCACAAAATTCTTTACCAGGTGTATCACCACTTTAGACAACCCCGCTTCATGTTTGGCATGGAGCTTAACAATTAATTTCGCCAGTTGGCCAATATTTGCAGCTCTGTGATTTGCCCCTCTGATCCTTCTCCAGCCAACCGAATGGTTATTCGCAAAAGTTTAATTTTTTGGCGAGAGTTTTCTCCCCTATCTTCATAATGAAGAAATAGTCAGTAGCAGTTGTTTTTCTCTCAATTGTAGTTTTGTTTAGTTTTTGCGGCTTAGGCCGAGATTTCTGGTGTTGGCATGTTTGCCAAGCATTTTTACCTGTTTTTAAATGTTATTTTATAAATAAACTATGATTTTCTGCATCATTAACTATGAGTCTGGTGAGTAATTTTACAGTATAAGTTGTTTTCTCTTCCTTTTTTTCAGCATGCTCCTTTGTTGCGCTTACCTTAAAGTTTGCACCCACTTCCTCTGTGCACCATTTATACTTTTTCGGCCTTTACATAATTAGTATCTAAATTTTATTTAATCTTAATTTGACTTAATGTTAGTCACCCCCCTTTTTGATTTAGCCACACCACACATACCATTAGGGAGCTCATATTTCTATGTGAAATGCTATACGATCAAAATTTACTAAATTTATAATACAAAAAACAGCTTTTAAGGGGAATCGGTAGGGCAATACTAAAACTGACCTTTTCCGATGTACATTTTTATATCTAAACAAAATATTGCTTTAGTTTTTATCATACAATATTTACAAATACATGTTTACACTCTGATAACTGGTAACTTTTGGCAGATTTTTTTTAAAACCAATAATGAACTTAGAACTTTTAATTTTTAAAATTTTCAATCACTTTTGAGCAAAAATCTTTCGTAAATCAAACAGTATTCCTGTTAACGCTAAAGCATTATCACAACATAGAACTAATATAATAATAATATCTCAAATAGTAAATCTCAAATAGCTCCGAAAATTACCGAAGCGATAGAAGTAGTTTATAAAGAAAGGTACACTGAAAAAGGTCAGTTTTAGGATTATTGATATGGGCCTACTGACGTTCCTTTAGGCTTTGACATACGAACAATTATGAAATTTAAAAGAAAATCATTCTTTAAAAAGTTTACTTCAACACGTGCACCACGCTTTTTATTCGTTAATGTTTCGTTTTATCATGGCTCAGAAAATCTTTCCGAAATATACTGAGACATATGCCAGATAAAGGTCAGGAACAGGTCAAATATCTTCACCTTCGGGTTGTAAATAACTTTATGGTGAATCAGGTATACAACAAAAATAAATCTAGGGTAGGGAAAGTGATTAGATGATTCCAGATCCATGAGAGAGCGCTGTTACACAAATAAGATCTGCGAAAACGGAGATAATCTTCATTCAAGCCGTGGATGAATTGGGAGCTAAAATGGTTAGTTACACGTACTGTAATATGTCTGACATGAATTTTGTTTAGTGCAGATTCAACTGCAATAGACGGGAAACTGAACACATTATTTGCCATTCTGAATTGAAATTTTTACAGAGCTGACTCACGCACCTTGCCCAGGTCACCAATGAACAACTCTGGTTGATTTTTGAGGAAAACATTTTGTAATAACTGAAATGTAAATCATTCATCAAATTTACGTGTTTTATAGACACCTACATTTCTCAGAGAATCATCTTCCGAATAGCACATGGAGAAGAATTGCATCATTTTCCTTTGCACCGGGGTCCATGTACTGGAACTCAAAGATTACACATATCACATGGAATTTGCACTGCGATTTTTGCAAGGAAATGATGAAAATCAAAACTCCACAGTATGTGTTCTCTTAATCATAAAGCTATGTTCTCACTGAACAGGGTGTCGAACTTCCACAACGTGCATACTTGGATGGATCAAAATTCAGATACTACACGTACGCATGCCTCACAATTCAAATTTATCCAGAATGTGGGGTTAGCGTTTACTTGATACATACATTCCTTCAGAAAGATTTCATGCTTGCATTTATCGAAGTAGGTTCGACCAGATATGCTGAATGATAATGTCATTTTACCAGATATGCTGAATGATAATGTCGTTTTACCAGATATGCTGAATGATAATGTCAGTTTACCAGATATGCTGAATGATAATGTCAGTTTACAAGATATGCTTAATGATTCAATATCTATTCGTCAGTCACCAGATCTGTTTCCAAATGTTTTAGATCATGGAGATATTTAAAAGGACTTGTGTATGATACATTTGTTTCATCGCCGAAAGACTAAGTTGGAAGAAATGTTGTGGCAAATGGATGGTTCGAGATATCTTTGAG